AGCACATGAAGTATATGTCCAGAAGCTTTTCTGTATTAAACCAGGGAGTCGAGCACTCAAGCACTGAATGAAGACATATAACACGTGGCAGAGTTTTATAACATGATTATTAGCATGTGGGGAGTGTTAAATTAAATGCTGTTAACCAGAAATAACCCATCCACTGAAATGCACCTCAAGGTGCTGAAAAGGTTGGACTTCTTCAACTTATCAAACAGAAAGTGGCTTTATAAGAGTGTATAAACGCTTTCATATGAAAATATAGTAAATAATAAAGGTGTATCAGTGGAACCAAGCCAAATAGTAATCTGTGCTTGGTTATTAAGGCCAAAAACATTCAGAGTACAAATTGGCATATTTTTATTTTGTTACTTTTCTTAACAGCAAGTCTGGTAAACAACAAAAAAAAATGTCAAAAGAGTTTTGGGTTTCCACTGTTAATGTTATATAATCAATGGTGGATATCTCTTGGAAGATATGATAGAAATTTTCTTTAGGAATTACTGGCCTCTACAAAACTACCATGTAAAGTTTAATAGCCTATGCTATAAGGGAAATCAGACTACAAGATCTAATACTGTCACCAAAGGAAATAATCTATGAATAAACTATAATAAAAGTTTTATATGGGAAATTGGATCGGAAAGCACAATTCAATTATCTTATAAATCACACCAACGACTGTGATCCTTATGTGAAATTCTGGGACAGAATATTTTTTTTAAATTTTCTACTACTAAAGCTTAAGTATTTGATCTTGAATTGCTATGAAACATATTTCTCTCTCACACATATATATAGTGTCATATATCACAGTGATAGAAAACCCAGCTGACTGGGAAGTCATGTTGTAGGATGGCATTGTTAGAACTGGAAGAAACCCTACAAAGATAAAAGAGGCTGAGCAGAACAGAAAAAGAGGACACCTATCCTTTATTAAATCATGCTTGCAATAGAGAGAAGTAATGGAGAATTAATATTGCTGGTTTCCTGATGCTTCAGATTAAAGCAGTATTATTCTACACTCACATAGTACTTTTGTGATGCTGACATGGTACTTGGAAATTAACCTGCCTTTACTTCAAGTGTGAAAGATATTTCCAAAACTGGAAGTAAAAAGGTTTGCTGTGCAATTATGTTGACTTACTAATTAATTTAAAGTGGTGATTTCGTGATCACTGGTTGCCATTAAATTGTTTCTTGCAGGATCATGCAGTGTGTTTGTTTGAAACAGCTACACCAATTTGCCATATAACTGCATGATTTAAGCAGAATAAAGTTTGAGACAAATTGCAGGAGGCACATTCAAGAGCTATATCTTACAGATACAACAGAACAATTTGTTTTGTGATTCCTAATTGTTAACAAGTCAGTGGAATGAAATGTGCTTTCAGAAGCTCCATTGCTGACATCTTGCTGACATCATCTCATTCAGCACAGAAGCTGCCTCTATGTATTCATGCCCTTTGAAAGTTCCAGTAGCTGATGCTGAACAAGCAAAAAATAGCTACGAATACAATAAAAGCACAAAGTATGGGAAACACAGGCTGAGTCAATGACAGGAAGGAGAAGAAAAGATTAAAAATAAATGGGAAATGAATGAATAAAAAAAAAAAAGCTGCTCTGGGCAGGCTGGGATGTGAAATAAATGACCAAACAAAAAAGAAAACTGACAAAATAATGACAAGCAGAAAGAACGATGATAGGTGAACATAGAATAGCAAATCAGACAAATATTAAATCTTAAAAGAAAAAATCAAAAAGAAGAAATGATACAGAGTAATTCAGGCAGAAAGAAAATCAACTCAAAAAAGGTAAATTAGAAAAGTGATTCATACAGGGGCAGATCTAAAAGCAGTGAGCTGGTCAAAGATAGGAAGAGAGTCATAGCTAACAAAGAGAACTATAACTAACAAGGACAGTTTTCAATGGGTCATGTTGAGGATGAAATAATCAGTTTTATTAGGTAACAAAGACAAGGAGTAAGGACAAACAGAGAGAACAATCACTGTTCTCTGAGCTTTCTCAGCTGTGAAACTCCAGTGTATGCTGCAGCTTCTGAATGCTATGGAGACAATGACAGGATGGCCTGGAAAAGTAAAGGCAGACTTTTTAATTTGTTTTATGAAAGTCCATGCCTTTCTGAAATTGTTCTTCTCATTTGTAGAAGGGTAAGTTGAGATATCTGAGAGTTCTTTGTTTGCCTTTTGTTTATAACATTCCCTTTCTAGGGAGGTACAACAGCGCCTTTTGAAGTATGAGCTGTGTTTATTCCTTCAGTTTTAAAATACAAACTCATGCTTTTTGCAAAAATGTGTACAGAAATATCTAGATTTCTAAGAAATAATGCTAATTCTAGGACTCCCTCTTAGAATCTAGAAGGGACAGATGTCCCCCCCTTTTCTTTTTAACTCACTATTAAATTTTACTGTTACTTAATGACCACTGTGGGTTAGCCTGACCTACTGATTCAACAGGATATAGTTGACATGAAAGAACTGCTGTCTTCAGAGGCTTGTTGTCAAACAATGTGCTTGATCTCCCCTCCTAAAAATGACTCATAGAGAGCAAAGGCACAGAGCAGTTCTACAGAATTGCCCTTATTCAGAGAGACTAAAGGGTTTATGAAATCTTTTGTTCTTGAATGCCGGACACACAATCATGACAGAGAGGGCTGACTACAGCCCCTACATATTTTTGACAGAGGCGATAAAGGATAATTGCAGATTCTATTCCTCAGTCCCTTTTAGCTGAATACAGTAGCATTTCTGCAATTTTACCCTTTTTGCTGTTTGACACAGTATTTCCTTGAGTCAGGGCCTTGGTGCCTACAAAAGCCTGCTTCCCTTGTCTCCTTGAGTCACCTCCAAATCTGGTCAGCTACACCACTGTTTCTGTATCTCAGACTCTTCTGGACCCTGGAGAGGTTGCCAGTGTAACAGCACCTCACTTGCTGCCTGTGACCCCTCTGGAGCACTCCAAATAAGGACTTTCTTTGAATCTCTTAGAAGGTAGTTTTCAGCAGTAAAACGGAAGGCTCAGCTCAACCAGCAGCTGCTTGGCTTTGCTGTTGAAGCTGCAGTTACCATGACTAAATCTCTTTAGGTTCTACAAGCACAGGCTCAGCATATTGCAAGATCAGTACCTCACTGAACAGTACCTGTCTACCCATGCCTTTTTCAACCCCTCCCCTTTCTCCTTCTGCCTCTCAGGTGTCACTGGAGCAGTCACCATCCTAGATCAGGATGCTCCACTGCCTCCAGCATTAGAACTTTCGATGTCAAATGCTTTTTCTCAAGCAGCTATGAACTGTCAATGGCCAGCAAGTTTTTGTCCAGACTACACCACCATCCTTAACTTTTTCCACCGTTGGAAAAACATACATGGAAATCTAGGAAAAATGAGGCAACTGCAGACAACATAAACCTGCATCCTGACATAACCTTCCATCTACTACAAACCTGTCAAGTAAATAATCCAGCTCTTCATTATGCTTTACTATTTACATTGATCTTAATAACAAGCATTAACATACTCTTTCACCATTTTATATATTGAATAATATTAATATTTTTTCAACTTTTCCAGCTTCTGAGTCTGCTGTTTCATGAGTGAATTCTTCCACATCATTCTAGATTGCAGCTACTGACCTACAGCTCCCTTTTGTCTCGTTTCATAAATGTTTTCACCTGTTAGCCTTTTAAAATGTCATATTGTTATTCATTAATTATTTTGTTCTAGTAGTGTGTGAAATCATTGTCGTTGCTTCACATTCTTAACACTTCCTTCAGATGCTTCAAGGACTATGCGCCAAAACTCCTAGCAAGCTTCCCTAGTATATTCAGTTGTGATCACCCCAGACTGTGCTTCAGTTGTGATCTTGGTATTGTGGGAGCAAGAAGAAAAGCTACTTATACTGGTATTCTTGTTACTTCTTCTTTCTTTGCATTCACATTTATATTTACTTATCTTTCATCTATTCATAGTTCTTAAATGCTTCAGAAACAATAAAGACCTTAAATATCTTACCTTTCAATGTCCTTCATGTCTGGAATAGGTGTTTGTAAATTTTAACTACGTGTTAATAGACAGTTTTTATGCTTCTGTGCCCTTGGAATTTCTACTCTCTAAGTGGAGACTGAACATAAAACTAAGATGAGGCTAGTCAGAGATTTCTGGAATGAGAGTAATGTATTTAAAATACAAGAACAACAATCTACTCTCCAAAAATGTCAATAAAACTTCTCTTAATGTCCTTGATTACTTCTGCAGATGTGAGAGAATTTTTATTTGCAATCACAGATCTTGGATTTAGAGACACAGTGAGTTCATCCAGGATTTAGAGACATAATGAGTTCATCCATAGATGATGGACCCTGATCTAGGGCAGTACAGAGAATAAAGAAGGAAAGAGAAGAATAATTAGCTGTTGTAACCAACTGAAGAATACAAGTACATAAGAATTGAAGATTTTTATACCACAATCTCTAAAAGATAAGTTTGAGTACAATTCCAACTGCTGGAATTAAATAAGCAATTAGATCTTGGTAAATCACAAGGCATTTATACTGCTGAAAATCTGCTAGAATGATCACAGGACCCTTTTTAGTTAAATATTATAAAAAGTCACTGCTGACTATGAAACCCCAACTTTCCTGACTACCAGGAAATGCTTCTCAATCTCTGGCAAGATGTAGCAAGAGATGTGTTAAATATTGTGGTTGGTTGGAGCCCTGAAGCTATATAGGATGATGGAGGGGTGGTGGCCTCATGATGTTACCATAAAGATATGCTTTTCATGTCCTTGGCTAGAAACTTAAGAAACTTTGTAAGCTGGTTTATAGCCCTGTGGGTAGGTACTTGTGGGGAAATGTTCCAGTGGTTGCTGAAAGCTGAATTTGAATTAAATTATGCCACTGTGAAGTATAAGCAGCTAATTCAAATATAAGGAATTTAAAATCAGTATTAAAATATTGTTAAACGTCCTCCACAAATAATGGTATTGGGCAGATGAATTTATTTTCAGAGTGTGGCCAAAAATATAAAAATACTGTGATAATAGATGTCAGCAGTGCAAATTGCTGTGCTTCATCTGACCACTCTTTTGGCAACAGAGAAAAGAAGAGCACTGTCATAAATACAGTAGCTTGCTTGATCTATGCAGCTCAGTGCACAGCTGTTCTCAGTGCTGGAAGCCTGCAAGAGAAGACAAATGAGAAATAAGTCATCCAGACACATCCCCAGTGCATTATTATTCCTGTGGCTGATGGGCTCAGCTAAGTGTCTCCTCTTAGGACCAGTGGAGAGTTGTGATCTACCCATCATTGATTCGTGCAAAGGAAAAGACAAATCTGGAAGCAAGGTTTCATTAACAGCTGAGAATGTGGAAGAACATAAAAGCACTGTCCTCAAATACTCTTCTTATTCTAAAAGTCTGAGATGCTGAAATGTTTATCAAGAAAACTGCAGGAAGCTTGTATGGGATAGTTCTGTGATGGTAACTGCTGTGGCTCTTCAGAACATCTCATCTGAGAACACATTGAGATATAAGAAATAAAAGCGGCTAAACTTAATGTTTTTATTTTAAAATATACAAATATTAGAAGATCACACTCCAGTAGTTCAGAGCTTATGTGGATAAGAGCGTGGCTGTGTGCCCAGCAAGAACAGAGAGACATTTGTCTTCGACTTTCCTCTTCCTCCTTCCCCTTCCCTCCCTGTCATGCTCTCCCATAGCACGTCCAGCCCTTTTGCATTGCGGTGCCAGGTAGAACTCATGAGAGCAGAGGTGGATCCACTGCCAGCAGACTGCTGAAAGATGCTGATTTTTGCTCTCTGTAGCAGACTCTTCGAGGTATGATCGATGTATTTATTAGCCTGCTAGATCACATTAAGAGCTCTTCAATGGGATTTTTTCTCTAATTGAAAACACCTCTCAAATAGTACTGATCCTCATTAAGCTATTTATGAAGTCCAGGAAGAACTTATTTTTGTTGTTTCAATATTTCCTAAGAATTCATAGTGCTCTTGCAAATAATTCTTTTGCTTTTCACCAAGCAGTTATATTCAGAGAAATAGGGGTATTCAGTTATAGTACACCAGCTGCAACGGTTTTTAGAACCTCTTGCACTTCCAAAATGCACATGGAATTTGCTGACATGCTGGAAAGGCCATGCAGTGCCCAGAAGCCAACCACTGAGGAATGTTTCTGGAAGGGAGCGTTGCTCTCCCTGGGTGCTGTGCCCAGTCAGAGCTGTCTGAGCACCACCTACCACACTGCCACGGCGTGGCCATAGGTTGCTAAAGCACAGCAGATGTGCCTTTTTCATCACCAGGCAAAGCAACTCTGGTGCTTTCTCCTATTCTGCCTTATATGGTACTTACCTTGTGCTGCTTAGCTTTCATTTCCATGACTTTCCTGGGAAGCCTGTTCAAGTGCTTCGCATTCACCCTTTGCTGAAGAAATTTTTCCTAATATCCATTCCAAACCTCCCCTGGCACAACCTGAGTCCATTTCCTCTTGTTCTATTGATTGTTACCTACAAGAAGAGACCAACTCCCACCTTGCTACACCCTCTTTTCAGGTAGTTGTAGAGAGTGATAAAGACCTCCCTGAGCCTCCTCTTCTTCAGGCTAAACACCCCCAGCTCCCTCAGCTGCTCATCATCAGATTTGTGCTTCAGGCCCTTCACCAGCTCTTCTTGGGGCATACTCCAGCACCTCAAAGTCTTTCTTGTAGTGAGGGGCCCAAAACTGAACACAGGGTTTGAGATGCAGCCTCACCAGTGCTTAGTACAGGCAGAAGAACACTTCCCTAGTCTTACTGCTCACGCTATTGCTGATGCAGGCCAGGATGGCACTGGCCTTCTTGGCCACCTTGGCACACTCCGGCTTATTATCACCTGCTGTTGACCAGCAACCTGAGGCAATTTTCTGCTGGGTAGCTTTCCAGTCACTCTTCCCCCAGCCTGAATCAATATCTAGGGTAGTTGTGACCCAAGTGCAGGGCCCAGCACTTCACCTTGTTGAATCTCATCCAGTTGGCCTCAGCCCATCATTCCAGCCTGTCCAGATCCCCCTGCAGAGACTTCCTACCCACCAGTAGATCAACATTCCCACCTAATTTGGTGTCATCAGCAAACTGACTGAGGGTGCCCTCAATCCTCTTGTCATCATCCAGTCAGGCTTTGGTCATTCTGATTTTTTCCGTGTATAACCCCAGGACAGCTGTGTAGTCCTCCTGTGTGACTAACCCTTCTTCTGAAGGTCATAAACTCTCTGGTTCCATCGAAGTTCCATCTGAAGTCCATGCAAAGCCCAGGCTGGCAGGGCAGGGTGTGGCCGTAGGGCACATGCCCCATCCAGCAGTTTCACTGCTGCAGTGCTGCTCAAGAGAGCAGTGAATGGGGCAGGCAGGGGGAAGGCTGCGCTGAGTGAGGGCTGGGTAAGAACCAGCCCATGCGGGGTGTTTTCTAAGGCTGGGGAGAGGGTGCAGAGGCTGTCTGGAGTGTCTTGGGCAGGGCAAGTGCCACTCTCAGGGCCAGGTGCAGAGGTGCCCAGGCCTGCCAGACACAGGGAGTGCCCATGGGGATGTGCCCTGGGGATGTACCCCCATCCCCACAACTTTCCCTATCCTTCCCCTTGCTGTGTCTGGGCTCCTTCACTCCATCTCCCATCTGTCCCCAGGGCCCTGTGTATCCTACCCCAGCTGCCCAAGCTCCCATTTTTCTTCCACTCAGCTCTGCTGAGCCCCTTCTCTCCCACCCGCTCTATCAGGCCATGGCTCTGAGCATCAAGAAAATCCTGACTGAGCTGGGCATCCTGCAATATGTGCTGAAGGCGAGTGACCAGTCAGTGAAAGTGTAGCCTCTGCACCTGCTCCCAGTCTTGATGTTCCCCCTGCCAGGAGGTGTGGAAGAGATCTACCCTTTGTAAATAAGTTAATAAATTGTTTGTTTGTCTTTAGAAATACTCTGTCTGTGATTGTTTGGGCAAGACTCTGTTGAAGGCTGATATCCCTTGGCTCCATCTCCCCTCTCTAACAGAGATGAAGATTGTGCTCCAATTTACATTTTCAATGATTACACTTGTGCTGAGGTGCTTAGCACCTCCCTGATGTTCTTGATATCTCCTCCTCCCCATGTCTTTTCCCGTGGCCCAGAACACCTCTGAACTGGCTTCAAAAGATGATGCTGAAATCAACAGTTCCATCACGGGGTCTTGCTGCTTGTCCTTGGGCTGTTCCTTTTAGGAGGGCGTTCCCATCAAGTGAACCCCCAAAGGCCTGCAGAGGCCACTGCGTTACCTATCTCTGACCATCAGATCCTGTCCCACAGCTGGAGGCTCAGACACCTCTGGACACAGTTTGATGGCTGCTGGGAGATTGCTGTGTGTACACAGGCCTCCTACTTTTGTCCCTGCACTCCTATTCCTAAGTGGGAATATTGCCTGTGTCTCCCAGGCAGCTGAGAAGGTACAGGCAAATCCATGTCTGTGGTTCAGGTGTCCAGGCTTGGCAGTGCTGGAGCTGCAGGGGAGGCCTGTGTGAGAGGCCTGTGCTGCCCAGCAGAGGAAGGAGTGAGAAGTGTGAAGAACAGCCCTGCAATCAGCAACACGAGAGGAGAAAGAGGACAAGAAGAAGACAAGGAGGAGGAGGAAGAGGAAAAGGAAGAGGAAGAAGGGGAGAAGGAGGAGGAGGAAGGAGAGGAGGAAGAGGAGGAGGAGGAGAAGGAGTGTGAGGTGCTCCAGTTGCTGGAGCAGGGATCAACAATGCTGGTCTCAGAGCTCCCCACACTGGAGTTTATCATAGAATCACAGAATACGTCCCGTGTACCAGAACTGCTGGTAAATGACGGAAAGTGGCTCAGTGAGCTCTTCAAACAGCTCCCTCAGAACCCTTGGGTGGATCCCATGTAGCCCTATAAGCCTCTGTGTGTCCAAGTGGTGTAGCAGGTCGCTGACCATTTCTCCTTGATTTATGGAGGCTTGTTTCTGCTCCTTGTCTCTGTTTTCCAGTTCAGGGAGCCAGGTACAAGGAGAACAAGTGGCTATAAAGGCTGAGACAAAGAAGCTATTTAATACCTCAGTTTTTTCCTCATTCTTTGTCACTATGTTTCCCCCTAGCCAATAAAGAATAAAGATTATCCTTAACCTTTCTTTTTTTTTTTGCTAATGCATTTATAGAAACGTTGTTATTCTCTTGCACAGCAGCAGCCTGATCAAGTTCTAGCTGGACTTCAGCCCTTCTGATTTTCTCCCTGCATAACCTCATGATAGCTGTGTAGACCTCCTCAGTGGCCTTCCACTTCTTCCATAGGTCGTAAACTCTCTGGTTCCACCGGAGTTCCATCTAAAGCCCAGGCTGGCAAGGTGGGGTGTGGCCATGGGGCTCCAGCACCTGTGACATCAGAGGGGACAAGGCCCCACGTGCCCCATCTGGCAGCTTCACCACAGCAGTGCAGCTCAAGGGAGCAGTGAATGGGACAGGCAGGGGGAAGGCTGCACTGAGCGAGCGCTGGGTAAGAACCAGCCCATGCAGGGTGTTTTCTAAGGCTGGGGAGAGGGTGCAGGGGCTGTGGGGAGTGTCTTGGGCAGGGCAGGTGCCACTCTCAGGGCCAGGTGCAGAGGTGCCCAGGCCTACCAGACACAGGGAGTGCTCATGGGGATGTGCCCCCATCCCCACATCTTTCCCTATCCTTCCCCTTGCTGTGACTGGGCTCCTTCACCCCATCTCCCACCTGTCCCCAGGGCACAGTGCCTCCTGCCCCCTGTCTCCTGCCCCTGCTGTCCCAGCTGCCATTTCCCTGTCACTCAGCCCTGCTGAGCCCCTTCTCTCCCTCCTCCCCTTCCAGGCCATGGCTCTGAGCGTCACCCAAATCCTCATGGTGCTGGGTGTCCTACAATTCACGCTGCTGATGGATGACCAGCCACTCAAGGTCACGGAAGAGCTCCTGAAGCAGCATGAGGAGCATCAGAATCAGGAGATGACTTCGCTGAAGGAGATGGGGAAGAGCATCCAGGAGCAGACCAGACTCAGTGAGGAAAGCTTGCTCCTCTCTGCCTGCCAGCAGTGGTGGTTCTGGGTCTCTGCCGAAATCCTCCTCGCGATTTTTGGGTTCTACTGGCTGCCCAAGCAGAGGAGTGCTGGCTCTGACAGTGGCAGCCAGCAGGAAGCCTCCAGCAGTGCCCAGAATCAGAGAGAGGAGGAGGAGGACTGGGAAGATAAACCAGACCCTTACAACACTCAAGATAAGCCCCTGGATAAGGTAGGGACCTCTGGTGCTTTTGCCAAGCCCTTCCCAAGAACAGCTTTCTGATGGCTGCATCCAGCCATGAGAGCAGACAGTGCCTACAAAGTCCTGGCACCCTCAAGGGCAACATCCTGCTGCTCATGTCCCTGAGACCATCCTCTGTGCAATTTTTCCACCAGGGCTCAGCACCATAGTGGGTCTGCTGGCGAAACAATCCTGCAGCCATGTGGAGAACGCACTGAAGAACATGTTGTGCTTCCTCCCTTCCCACCTGAGGAGGCAAATAGAAGCCAGATCCCTGCTTCCTGTGCAGTGTCTGCATCTGCTGCCAGTCCTGATGTTCCCTCTGCCAGGAGGTGTGGGAGAGATTCACCCCTTGAAAATATGTTCATAAAATTGTCTGTTTTGAGAAATGTTTTGTCTCTAGGTGTCTGGGCAAGACTATATTGGGGATGATACCCCTTGGCTTCATCTTCCCTCTTTAACAGAAACAAAGTTTGTGCTCCAGTTCACATTTGTAGTAGATACAGTTGTGCTTAGGTGCTTAGGACCTCCTGTCTTCTCCTGGTGTTCTTGACATCTCCTCCTCCCTGTGCCCTTCCCAGTGTCCCAGAACACCTCTGAACTGGTTTCAAAAGATGATGCTGAAATCAGCAGTTCCATCATGGGGTCTTGCTGCTTCTCCTCGGACTGTTCCTTTTAGAAGTGTGGTCCCATCAAGTGGACCCCTAAAGGCCTGTGGAGACCATTATGTTACCTGATTCTGACCATCAGATCCTGACTCACAGCTGGAGGCTCATCCACCTGTGGCCACAGTTTGATGGCTGCTGGGACACAGCCTTGTGCAATAACCTCATGACAGCTGTGTCCTCCTGCCCCATCTTCCAAAGGTCATAAACTCCCTGCTCTTTCCCTGAGTTTCAGCCAAAGTTCTCTTCAGCCAGGCTGGTCTTCTTCTCCACCAATTCATCTTTTGGCACATGGGGTAGGCCTGCTCCTGTGCCTTAAAGATTTCCCCTTGAAGAATGTCTAGCCTTCTTGGACTCCTTTACCCCTCTAGACTGCCTCTCAAGGCATTCTGTCAAACAGATTCTTAAACAGGGCAATGTTTGCCCTCTGGATGTCCAAAACAGCAGTTTTGCTGACCCCCCTCCTTATTTCTCCAAGAATTGAATTTGATTCTTTGATCACTGTGCCCAAGACAGCCTCTGACCATCACATCACCCACCAGTCCCTCTCTGTCCACACGCAACAGATGCAGCAGGTTACCTTCCCTAGTTGGCTTCCTCACTACTGCCTGTAAGTTACCTTCCACACTCACCAGGAATATCGTAGACTATTTCTTGTCTGTTGTATTATATTTCCAGAAGGCATCTGGTAAATTAAAATCCCCCACAAGAACAAGGGCGAGCAATCGTAATTTCAGGACTGTGGAATCCTCTTCAGTTAATAGAAAGTAATAAGTACTGAAGAAATGAGACTCAGCTCTCAATACTTTCCCAAACTAATAGCTCTGTGTGAACAGCCTTCAAGACTGGTAATACTGGTGACCTCTATTCCCACTGGATAATTGCTTTTATTATGCATTGCTTGTTTCTATTCTTGTCCTACAGCACCGATGGATGTAATTTTGTTGTGTACCACATAGTGCTTAATGATATTGCTGAAAGAAAGTTTATTGCCAAGTTAAAAATATGATATCAATTTTGAGTTTCAATAAGGGTCTTAGCTGCAAGCCTGCCTTTTTTTTTTTTTCCTCAGTACATTAAATATTTTTTTATTATGGCTAGGAAAAATTAGAAAGTGCAAAATGTTCAACATATGTAGGCTAAAATTCAAACATATCTAATACTACCATAATGAACAGACATGCTAAATCTGTATCTGATAAATTAGGCCACATGATGGCAGGTGAAATGTGGATAAGGTGAAAGTACTACATGATGAAAGGAGGAGATGAAGACCTATTTTAGGTTGATATAACCAGTCAGAAACAGCAATGTATGTCAGAAAGGAGAAATCAATTTAATGTCTACATTATACAAAATATCAATACAGATAGTATATTAAACTGCACTAGGAAAAGTATCTACAGATAGATTTACAGGTAGACTGCAGCATTGATAAATGGCGGGTGACTGGAAAAGGGAAAAGAAATAGCATGGAGAAATCCTCAACCAAGAAAAATATATAAATGCGGGATTAAACTGAGCAAAAGATATTAGGGAAGAGGTATATAAAATAGTGAATGAAGTAATAAATGTCAGTTGAATGTCCACATTTCCTCTTTTTGCCTAGTGTGGGACAAAATGTTAAAATAGCAATCTGAAAAAATTAGTGTAAGTTTCATGAAAGAAAGTACATGTTGACACAATGTGTCATTAAACTACTGAGTAGCATAAATTCCCTGGAGTAAGTAAATCTATACTCTGCAAGATACATTCTAATTCTCATTTAATGCTATCCTGAAACTTTGCTATTGTTCTTCAAGGCCATCATTGGATAAGGACCCTGATAAATTAAGTAGTATCCTTTCATCTGTAACTTATGAAGACAAATGACCTCTCTTAGTGAAATGCAACAAGCTATGCTGACATTCATGAGGACTAGAGATAGTATTTTGAGGAAAAGTGGCTTGATACAGAGCAGTCTTGCAGAGAAGGACTTGGGGGTGCTGGTTGACGAGAAGCTCAACATGAGCTAGCAACATGCACTCACA